GTAAAAACTGCCTTCAAAATAAAAGAGTTTACTCGGTCAATAACAAATATACCTAAAAAACACACCAAACATATTCATACTGGAAATTAAATTATTATTATTATTTAATGGAAACTGTCCATAATCAAAGAGTCATTCGAAGTCAATCAAATTTATTTCACTTCAGGGTGATAGCAGGAGACCCCATCTAGTCACTCAGAGAGAATCAGGACAATCTGATGTAGAGTTTCAAAATAAAATACCTTATAAGTCTCATATGAGCAGTCTTCCCATATATGAGCTGTCTTCCTTCTGTTTGTATCCAACAGTTCAAATGTTCGAATTACATTAAACCAGAATTGTCCCCCTTTTTTCTTTAACAGTGAAGAACATTGGATATGTTAATGATATATTGACCGCAAAACTCAAAATGTCCCCAGTTTTAATTTTGAAAATCTGGTCACCTTAGCTTAGACATACTTTATATTTTCCTTTTGTGCTTAATATTCTTCTGCTCTAGCATTTTGGAGGTGAATATTGCACTTTTTACTCCACTACATTTATTTAACATGGTTTACATATGCATATTTACAAAAATGTCCCAAATTGGGATCAATAAAGTAAATCTTAATCTTATATGAAAAAAACGCTATGCCTTCATGATATGATGCACTACTATACTACCTCCACACAGTATTTCTACACGTATTTAAATATATCTCAACTTTTACAGTAGTATTGTAAAAAGAGCCATTTTGCAAACTGAGTACTTTGTTACTTTAAGTACATTTAAAACTGATAAAACTTCTGTTCTTTTACTCAAGTAACGACATCATTTGTTATAAAGCATTCAAGCACCTTCATGTCTCTACTTTTACTTAAGTAAAGGATTTGAGTACGTCTTCCACATTTTACTTGAGTCCAACAAGTATTTGCGTACGACACTCCTCGGGTACGATTTGTTTTGGTTCTCAGATACTGTATAGAAACAACTTTCTTAATGAATCGTTTGATAATTAATGTCACTTTCTTTTCCCAGTGGACTTCGGTGTGAGTGCTCAGCTGGACCGCACGGTGGGGCGGAGGAACACCTTCATCGGGACGCCGTACTGGATGGCCCCGGAGGTCATCGCCTGCGACGAAAACCCAGACGCTACCTACGACTACAGGGTGAGGAACCTGAGTTCAACTAACATGAGATCTGCTGTTTAACATTACAACATGGGCTGTGTGCAGAGAAATCAAGATAGCTAATAGAAGTAAAAATAACAAGAATGAATCCCAGGAAAGTGAGAAAATAGTCCCCATCATGAAGTGAAGTAAAACTCCCAGATCTTCCACATTTAAAAAAACGGTGTATTTATTTTTACAGTTTAATATTAAAGCCTCTTGTTACGGTTTATGTGCCTAATTAAAAGTTCTGAACAGTTTAATAACAACAAATTAAGCAAAACATATTTTCCTTCAGACACTTGTGTGTTTTTTTTACACTTTAGACGACGTTCTGACATCAAATTGACCGGACTTCTTTTTGTGGATTGATATTATTGCACATACTGTAATCCCTTGATCAGAGTGTTCTCCTTAGCAACAGGCTGTTCTCCTTAGCAACGGCCTTTGGAATGTTCAAATTGACCAATCAGAATTGAGTTTTCATTCAAGCCGTGTATTAACTCCTCTCCCCCCCTTCAGAGTGACCTGTGGTCCGTTGGAATCACCGCCATAGAGATGGCTGAAGGAGCTCCACGTAAGTTCACATCACATTCAGGTTTCAAAAACTATAAATCATTTAAAAAGTAAACTATTTTTAACTTTTATGTATTCGTTTTGCTCTTCTCTCTTTTGTTTCTTCTAGCTCTTTGTGACATGCATCCAATGAGAGCCCTCTTCCTCATTCCTAGAAATCCTCCTCCTCGGCTCAAGTCTAAAAAATGGTGGGCTTCAGTTTTTAATCTTTCCACTCTCGTCATGTAAGGGAAAATGTGAATCAAGGCACTTAATCCACTGCTACATCCTAAATAAACCAACCGCTTGACTCATAATGTTGATTGGAAAATGATCGTATTGCTTCAGCCTAAGAAATAAAGCAACGTAAATTAAAATGACGGCAGCACAGATCGAGGATTTCTGTAACTGTCCACGTCTGTTCATATTTTATTTTCCGGTAACCAGTCTTTAAACACAGCCAGAGCCCATACTGTGTTCTGTTAGTATTTACTTCCTGTCTGTCTTCTTATGTGGATTTCTCTGACGTCCAGTCTACTCTCCTTAGCAACTGTCTACTCTCCTTAGCAACAGTCTGCTCTCCTTAGCAACAGTCTGCTCTCCTTAACGGCAGTCTGCTCTCCTTAACAACGGACTACTCTTCTTAGCAACGGTCTGCTATGAAACAATTGCAGACCCCTGGAATGTCCAAATTGACCAATCAGAATCAAGTTTTCACCTAAACTGTGTTATAAAAAAGGATATTGTATTTCACATTTTAACTCAAACCATCACATTTATCCTCAACAGGTCGAAGAAGTTCTTCAGCTTCATCGAGGGCTGCCTGGTGAAGAACTACACGCAGCGCCCCCCCACCGACCAGCTGCTCAAACACCCGTACATCCGGGACCAGCCCAACGAGAGGCAGGTGCGCATCCAGCTGAAGGACCACATCGACCGCACCAAGAAGAAGAGGGGCGAGAAGGGTGAGAACATCCAACGCTTTACCATTACACTTTCCTCTAATGTTACATTTAAGCTTAAACTATTATTTTTAGGGGAAAAAAGTCTCAAACTGTTGGTTTATAATAAAATGGTTATGATTGATTACATGTAATGCTTTACCATTACACTTTCCACCTTACCAATGTTTTTACCATTGCATTATGTATTTAATTGCATTGAATTTGTATTTGTTCCGTTCATGGTATGCACATCTTAATGTATAACAATTATTTACAAAAAAAGTCTCTATAAACACACCGTACCCGAAAAGGAGCAGGGAGAAGAAAATAATCTTATATTACCTGCCCCTTTCTCAAAAAATAATAATAAATAGAAATAGATGGTCTGTCCTTCATATTTTCTTATTCACAGCCAATCATAACAGTATGGTAGGAAAATAAGAGAAACACAAAAACGTACAAAAAAAGACTTCGTTCCCACTTGACAGTTAACGGAAAGAAACAAAACAAACATCACATGAACAAGGAAAAGTGTGAGTCCTACTGGAGTAGAAGGGGGAAAGCGGCACATAATAATAATCAATCAATCAATGTTTATTTATATAGCCCAATATCACAAGTGTTACATTTGTCCCAGTGGACCTTACAGTTTGTACAGAATATCAATACGACTCAAAAAAAGTCTCAAAATGTTGGTTTGTAATAAAACGGGAATCAATATGAACATTGTGTGTGTTTACAGTCTAACGTTTGAATGACTTTTACTCATCTGTTAAGTTGTTTTTCCTTGGTTTCCTCAGATGAGACGGAGTATGAATACAGTGGCAGTGAAGAAGAGGAGGAAGAGGCAAACGAGCAAGAAGGAGAGCCGAGGTGAGAATTTATCATCAACTCATATGAAACGTTTCGTTATTGCTTTTTTTTTATGCATTGCACTAAATCCTCAGCACCCTGATGTCGGGACGTCTGAAGTTGACTTTTGATTTCGTTCTGGTTTTATGTTTCAGTATTTGTAAGCAACTGTGACTGAAAGAATATTGCTTTTATTTTACTTTTTTATGGTTATTCTTTTTTTAAGCAGGGGCAGATAGAATAAGATTTCTTCTCCCTGCTCCTTTCCACCATGCGCTATACAAAAATAAACAACCAGTATAAGTGGTTTTGTAAAGTGCACATCTTTTGTTTTAAAATAACTGCCATGTGTGGAATAAACAAATACAAATAAAATAATTTGCGTATTGAAAAGTAAAGCGAATTTAACCATCACCGAGTGGTTTGTTACGGTATAGAAATACGGCAGATCGTTGTTGTGAAAGGGTTGAACCATAGTTATTTCATGAAATAATTAGAAGAGAGTGGAGGAGTCGGCGAAGGAGACGAGGAAGAAAACGAGCTACGTCAAAGACGGAGAGCCGGTCGTCAACCGCGGAACAGGAGGAGGACGAGAGCTTTCGACGACGAGGACCGTACACGACGACCGCCGCGCTCGAGGAGCCTGGCGAGGAGACAAAGAGGACGACGGTCGGCCTACTTCAGGGACGCCTCCCAGCTGAGGGCCCTTGCAGTGATACCTCGAGTCTCCCCTCTGTGCTCTCCGCACTCGACGGACAGCATCGAGAAAATCGNAGTTCAGGGGTGTCAAACTCAAGGCCCGCTGGCCAAATCCGGCCCTTGACTTCATGTGATGTGGCCCCACAAGATCTCTGAAAGAATATAATATGTTTATTATTCGGTTACATGCAGATACATACATAAGCACGTTGCCCATAAACTACATGTCCCACAATGCATCTCAAATTTGACTTTTTTTTCAAAATGTTATTTTTTTTTCAAAACGTCACTTTCAGAATGTGGCTTTTCTTTTTAAATCATTTTGTGACATTTTCACTGAAGAGACTTGCAGTTATGTGCCCTAGACCAGGGTTCCCAAAGTGGGGGTTGCGACCCCCCGAGTTGGGGTCGCGAGATGATTACAAAATAAAAATGGAAAATTTAAAAAAAAGAAATTTATTAAAAAAAATTGATTAATTTTTTTAATAATAACAAAAAAAAAAATCATTATTAATAATAACGTTTGCATAGACATTTTCAGGGGCGGACTAGCCATCTGTATAATTTCCCCGCAACGAGGCTCCCCCTTTGACAATCCACTAGCGCAGTGTTTCTCAAACTTTTACATACCAAGGACCACTTAACCAATAAAAAACACTCATGGACCCCCCCCCCGACAGGGGGTCGCCAGTCTCTGGCACTGTTATTTTGGGGGTCGCGGGCTGAAAAGTTTGGGAACCCCTGCCCTAGACTTCTGCTTTCAGACGTAGTTAATTATGAAGTTATTACCCTATCCGATAATAATCCATTGCAAAGGCAATAATGTGATATAATACATTATTTTATATATATTACATATTTATATATGTATTTTTATATAGTCTTATATATAAAACTGGCCCTTTGAGTGCAACCATGATGCTAATGTGGCCCGAGATGAAATTGAGTTTGACACCCCTGAGTTAGATGAATATTAGTTGGAAACTTTTATTTTTAAAATGTATTTACATAAAAAAACTAAAGCTGCATTTTTTCAACAAGCTGACATTTAAAAAAATTTTTTAATTTAGAGTATAGAAAATAATTTAAAGAATTCGCTTTTTTGTGTGTGTATGATGTGTTTATAATATATAAATAAATGACATTGCACGTGTTTGAATCACAGAGTTGAGCTCGAGCCATGTTACAGAGATATCACTGTGCATGTGCTGTCTTCAGCTCCTGTGGATTCTGAAGACTGCATTAGTGCAAACACGATGATACTCTAACCCAAATCTAATGTCCCGAAGCTTTACGTAAAACTCTGACTGACAGAAATCAGTTTAATTTCTTCATCGTGTCTTCTTAGAGAGCCGCGTGTCAGATCACTGTCTGTCAGACTTAACATAGTTTTAATGCAGAGCTTTAAATGGGACGTTTTAACCTTTTTCTGTCACTTCAGCTCATGTCCACCTCTCATACAAGTATATACCTTAAAATATACTGCTATGTTTCTTTATTTCCAACAAAACTGCATGTAAATAGTTTTGAAAATGCACAGGTTTGGACCATTTGAGGAATGATCTAAAATCCTCCAAAAATGAATGAGGGCATTTGAACCTTTTTCTGTCACTTCAGCTCATCCACGTCTGCATTTATTTACTCATACAAGAAAAGACCTTAAAATATACGTTGTTTGTTCAAAAATAAAATGTGAGCTGACAGAAAATGCTCAGTTTTAGTTTAACACACACAGTTAAGCTCACACACACTATTTTATGATAGGTTCACCTGCTGAGTTAAAAACAGAACAAATGAAGCAAAGAAAAGTAAAGTATTATCCCACAGAACAGCTGACAGAGAAGAGACAACATCTGATCCTTTACAACACACACTATATGATATTTTTAGGTTTTTAGGAACACTGTAATCCGGCTAGTGATCCCCAATTGTTTAGAAAAGTAAGAGTAATGTGATTATTGATATGTAACTGTAAGGGAATACAGTTACCTTTTTTTGTATCCTGATTTTCTAAACCCATTACATGTAATCCGTTACTCCCCAAGCCTGCTTAGCTGGTTTAACAATACCACTGTAATCTAGGGATGTAACGATACCAAAAACTCACGGTACGATAATATCTCGATTAAAAGTCCACGGTACGATATTTATCGCGATATTGAAAAATAAACTTAAATTAAAAAAAATTATTTAAAAAAATCGCGTCAGTCTCACGAAGGTATTGAGAGATATTTACCGCGATATTCGATATATCGTTACATCCCTACTGTAATCACATCTTGATTTGCTTTGAGTACTTGAGGATGGTGTAATCGTTTCATTAAAGAAGGGGACAAGTGTTTGTGGAAGCGCTCAGAAGCACGGGGACACACATTAACGGATGATGATCGTTTTAGGTTTCTACCTACAATGTAATCGTGCTAGTAATCCCCGTTGTTTAGAAATGTAACAGTAATCTGATTTCTTTATGAACCTGTGAAGGGTACAGCCTGGTGGATACACAAAAAGGTAGGTTGACCGGTTTCTCCGTTAACTCTCGTCTCCACAGCAACAACGTCGTGAGCGTGAGATGCGGCGGCAGCAGGAGCGCGAGCAGCGGCGCCGCGAGCAGGACGAGAAGAGACGGGTGGAGGACATGGAGCGGCGCCGCAAGGAGGAGGAGGAGCGCAGGAGGGTGGAGGAGGAGAAGAGGAGGGCCGACCGAGAGCAGGTCAGGGAACACTCAAGAGGTTGCTTTGTTCAAAAAGTGGATTTTTTTTTTTTAAAGTACGCATAGTGACATCACTATTTCACTCGTGCTCCAAAACATTGAACGTGATAGAGGGCGGGACATCTCTAATCCGTTGACAAATCAAAACAGTGCTGGCCAGCTAACCAATCAGAGCAGACTGGGCTCTGGTTTCAGACAGAGGGTGAAAAGAGGTGCTGCAGCACAGGCAGTGTGAGAAGAAAAAGAGCTCCATTAAAGTATGGAGACATGTCCCAGTAGAGACACTAAATACAAAAACCTATAAATGACCAGACTAGGGCCCCTTTAAATCTAACCTGGGCTGGAAAGGCGATATAAGCTAATAAACACGCTCTGTGTTTGATTGACAGGAGTATATCCGTCGTCAGCTGGAGGAGGAGCAGAAGCACCTTGAGATCCTGCAGCAGCAGCTGCTGCACGAACAGGCCATGCTGCTGGTGAGTCGCCTCACTCGAAACCGCAGTTTCCCTCAATAATATATAACCTTCTGGGTTTTTTAAGTATTGGCGACTCATACTCCTTTAACACTTATTCTCTACTTAAATAGTTTCTTCTCTCTTTCCCACTTGCCTCTGTAAATCTTAATTATTCCCTTAATGTTATTTCCATCCGCTTTTCAGTCCCAAGTGATTATTCTTAATGTCTCCACAGCTCACGGGTTGTTAAAAGTCTTAATGCAGCTACTTATAATTCCTCTGCTGCACAAACTTTTCCTTTCGATCTGACTGAATTATGTTTTTGGGACTAACTTATGTCGATCCGCGGGGAGCCTTTAACACATGAGGTCAGAGCGTAATAAGAACGTCAGGGTTTCTTTCTATTAGTGGGGATGTTTACAGGCCCGTAGTGATAGTAATGTCGTCACCAGGAAGCTAGTCGTCCAGCTGGAAGAGAGGGTTTCCCCTGATTTCGTTCCAGATGTTTCTTATGTGGGATATTTCGGTGGTTTGTATGACTTCATGTTTTCAGCTGCTCTTTAGGGGATACAGAGGATACGGGAATAATGAAAGGATATGAGCCCTCATGTCTTCACTTCCAGGTTTCACACCGTCACTTTATTATTGGCTGACTCCCCGGTTCATACACACTCACCATTCATAAACTCTAGCTTTAAAAAATAAAACAAATTTCCTTCACATCATGGTTTGTTGGTTTCACACTTTCAATAGTCAAACATTTCTTAGGCCACATTAACGAGAACAAATCTTTAATTTCTCGTTTAACAAGCGCTTCATACTTTAGATGAAGCTTCTGGCAATCCGTCAATTATAATAATCATTCGTCTCATAATAATTCAGTGGTTGAAAGCTAACTGCTCTACCAGATGTGCATTTGGACATTCGCCCCACAAGCTTATGTTGCTTTAGTTTTAGGGGGTTAGAGCATGAGTCTCCCGGAAACGATTACTTTTGTATATGAAAGGGAAGGGTAAGGTGGCCAACATGTACAAATGCATTAAAACGGCCCAACACATTTGTGATGGACTTTCAAAAACAATCCAAATAAAAAAACACAAATGTGCCAAAAGACCTGCATATGAAGAAACGTCTTCACCGACTCGACATCACATGTGTAGCGTTTACTAAAAGAAATGCATAAATGAAATGCTGCAAGAAGATGGAAACACAACAGAAACCAGGGGACACTCAAAAGTGATGCACACAGCTGGGATTGTTGACGTTTGGGGATTATAAAGTCACTGGAAACTTTCCTAAAGTGTATCTTTAATTGGCTTATTTGAACAATGTGATCACATGGTTCCTTCCGATATCATTGCAGATATTCTTTAAGCTAACTAGCTAACGTAGCTAACCTACAACACTTGACAGTTGGCCTACTTTATAATCCCCGAACGAACGCCAACAACAACCTGGTCCCAGCTGTGTGCGTCACTTTTTAGTGTCCCCCTTGACTCCATTGTGTTTTGAGCTTCTTGCAGAGTTTTTCGTATTTTATTTGCAGTGTTTTGTATTTTCAGAGTGTCCTCCTTAGCAACAGTGTGTTCTCCCTAGCAACGGTCTTTGGAATGTTTAAATTGACCAATCAGAATCGCGTACTCATCTAAGCCGTGTAATAACTCCTCTTCCCTCCTTCAGAGTGACCAGTGGTCCTGTGGAATCAAGAAAACACATTTATGTTTTTATACTTGTATCTTTTCTTTAAAGTGCTGTGCGTTTCTCGCTACAAGTTTTATGGGCCGTTGTAGCGCTCTTGCTATCATACAATAGAAAGGTGAACATGTTTACTTCCCTCATGAAGACCAGGTGGATTTAGAGACTCTTGCAGGTAGGAGGAATGTGTCGGGATCCCAGGAGGTTTTTCCTGTCAGAGGTTCTGGTTCAACCTGCCCCCTCCTGTTACTCAGGAGAATAAATGGCGGGAGCTGGAGGAGCAGCGCCAGGCCCAGCAGCTCCAGAGGCAGCTGCAGCAGGAGCAGGCCTTCCTGCTGTCCCTCCAGCAAAACCCCAGCCTGGATGGTAACAAATCCTCCCAGCAGCAGAGCTCCAAACCCCCCCAGAGCGGGGAGCACGAGGGGGTGAAGCCCCTGCAGAGCTCTGAGCCGGAGACAACCCAACAACCACAGAGCGCTGAATCTGAGAAGACGGTTCAAAATCCCAGTCTGGAGAGAACTGCACAACCCAAGCTTCCTGTCGCTGACCCCGCCCCCGACTCTGAGCCAATCAGAGAGGTGAACCCTCGCTGCTGTAGAGCACTTCCTCTGCTTGTGTGAACTCACTCGCACCGTGTGGGGATGGCTAGCTGCTGGTGTGGGGTGTGTGGACGCTTGGTAGACGGGCTAATTGGCTCTAACTTAGCTGTTTGTTGGCTTGTTTACCACCAGTCTTATTGTCTAACTGCTCAAGTCCTCACTCTGTTCTGAGTTTTATCACGATACAATAATACCAAGATCAAGTCTGGCACTTTTCTCGCATCACAGCAGCTCCATTTGGATATCAACAAGGACACATATTTAAGACAAGCTACAAAGAAAACAAACATTCAACATAACATCACGATCACTGAAGAGACACCCGCTCAAGACCCTCTGACCTACATTTGACCTTGGATTTAATTTGAGGATTGGCTGGTGCACAAAAGAATGCTTCAGTCTGACCTTATTAAAAGGCAGGACCCTGTATCTCCGATTTGATGTTAACAATTCATATATAATGAATTTGCTGATTACATTATAATCGAATCAATCAGATTCACTAATTGCAAATGTGATTGAATCTGCAGCCACCTGAAATCACTTTTCACAAATTGATTATTCTCGGTTGAAATGCCTAAAAGTTCAAATCCAATTAGAGCCCAAAAGATTTGGTTAGAGCAGCTCAGTGAAAGCTACAGTAGGAAGAAGTATAAGAGCAATCATTTTCAGATTTACAGTAGATTGGATTCCCTTGCTTTGAGGAACAAATGAAGTCTTGCCAACGATTACTTTGACATTTCAGACTAAAAAACGCTGGTCCTGGACCTCGGTGTGTGTCCTAACCTTTGTGAATGTGTGTCTCTCCACATGGGAAGTGCATGACCCTCTGTGCTGGTTGTGGTGCCGTTGTCCTACTAGCAGGGTTGTGGGAATACTGTGGCAACAATAACACCGCTGCCCTGGAGGAAGTGCTTTCTTTGCTGTTCCTCCCGTATCAGCTGATGACTTTCTGACGTGCTTGATTCACCGCTGGTAGAAACCGTCTCTGCGGCGGCACTAACCATAACGTTTAACCGCTTCTGTCCACTCTTCTTAACGTCCTCACTCACAACGTTTGTCTTGCATACAGAAAATAACAATGTTTCTTTTTCAAATATGACGGATAAAAGTGACTGTTCAGAAAAATACATTATTGGCTTCCTATCTAAGTAGTGAGTGTTAACATAGTTGTTTTACGTGTACATCTCAAGTTGAAATGCATTTGTATTGAATGTGAGTTATACACGTGATTTTCATTTAGGAGCAGTTGGGTTAAACACGATAACAAAGGGTTTAATACATGAAAAAATGTAGGCGAATTATCACAGATGAGTGAGGGGGCTCTTGTAGAATGGCGACCAGCTCAAGCTCTGCTCTAAACCACTGCTAATGCGTCTGTCTGTCTGTCCTCTGTAGTCTGATGATCGGTACAGGAAGAACATCCAGGGCTCTCCCCAGGCGGCTCAGATCAAACCCCCGCAGATCAAACCCCCGCAGCCTCCGGTGCCCCCCCGCTCCGATTCCTCCCACCCCAACGGGAGCTCGGCCTCCGAGGCGCCCGCCATGCACCGGCCCGTCGAACCACAGGTAACCACACCGTGCTCAAAACACCCTCCCTCCTTCCTCTGGAGTGCTTCCTTCCTCTTTACTCTCAGAGCTCCTGGACACAGGCAGCATTTGGAGTTTGTGTGAAGTGGTACGGGGCCTTGCATTCTGCTATGCTGCACCGCTCTGGTGGTATTTGACCTGTTTAATGTTGATGTTTGCATTGATAACGTTGTGTCACTACGGCTAGATATCACTAGACGTGTTTTAAAGCATTGGTTCTGTTGCTTGGTTACCGTTGTGTATTTTGGTCCAGAGCTTCAGGGAAAGATCTCAACAGATTACAAGCAGCTCAAATAAAGCAGCACGAGTGTAACAGACATGGATGAAAGTTGGTTATCTGTCAGGCAGAGATCCACCAATGCTTTATCAACATTTGTGGCAGAAATGTTACATCAGAGATTTGATGGATGTTTATTCTCTCTTTGCTCAAGCACAAAAGAAAGGAGGTTCATGTTACCCTAAAGCTAAATCCAATGTGACATAAGATGTTGGTTGATATGATGGTTTGGTCTGTATGGTAATGACCACAGTGAGAGAGCCGATGCTAATGCTTGTGCTAATGGGGATCCTAAGAAAGATAATGTGTGCTCGAGGTGGTTGTTTACCACTTTTTCTCCCACACGATTTAGTTATCATAGCTTAATGATCAGCGCTTCTGTTGGTATTCTACTCTGGACCTGTGTGTTTAGTAATGTCCTCAACACAACAGAGAGAAGAGAGTAGGGCTGCTCGGTTATGGCAAAAATCATAATCTCGATTATTTGGGTCAATAATTGATATCATGATTATTAAAAACGATTATCCATTTACTTTGAAAACATCAATTTATTGAAATAAAAAATGTGAACAGTAGGTTTTTGACAGTTGATTACCCTGAACATATAATAACAGTATAATTCAACTGAAAAACCAAAAGAAAAAATAATTAAAATAATTAAAAAGAAATAATAATAAAAAGAAAAATCGTTTTATTTCGATTAGGTTGTTTTCATAACCGTTGCAAGCGAAAATCGTAATTGCGATTAAAATACGATTTAATTGAGCAGCTCTAGAAGAGAGTGTGAGTCTCGTGGGAGAAATGCCTTAAAAGCTCATGTGGTCATATGACATGGTCGTTTGATGCCTACATACAGTACATGTCCTTTCCATATGATTTGACCTGTAATGACCCCTGTTGTGTTGTTGTTGTTGTTGGGTTAAAGACTTCCTGGTAGGGTGTGTCATGAATGAACAGGAAATGTGGACGCCGGACTGGTTAGTCTTTGTTTGGTTTACACCAGCTCATTTTTCTTTTCTCTTAATTGTTTGTTGTTGGAGGATTGGTGAGAAACGATGCAGAAATAATTTAAATAATTTCTAGGTGCTGTTTGAAGCTTGTGTTAATGTGCTGGGCTCTGACAGTAAAGTTTAATTTGGACTGTTAGAGTTAAAGCAGTAATTGTACGACTATATAATGATTATGCTAGCCATAAAACAATCCGGTTTGATGTATGTGGTACTTTAATGTTGTCTGATGATATAGTCATTCACAGTAAAGCCCTTTTTGAAACTGGTGGTTGTAGAAAGCATTTTTTCGGTGTGAAAGGCTCGCATTTGATATTGTTTAGAAGATGCTGAGTGTGGATGCACATTTCCCGATAATGCTGGCCTTGGGAAAAGCAAATGGATTTACGGTGCTGTCATTCACTTGGCAGCCTTCCCTGCATTGAGGCAAGTGAAAGCCTTGTGTTTCCAATCTTGCTTGTAGCTTTCTCTTCATGTTGCTGCTCCTTCCATGTCTATTAACTGGATTTGCTGACCTGTGTATTTCCCTTTTTCTTCCAAGCAATAACCCTGATTAAAGTTCTCTATTTCAGGTGATTTCCTCTCCACTCTTTCAGGTTGTTTCCTCTGGATAATGGATCTGCTTTTGTTGAAGACCCTTTAAGGGTTGTTATCGATTCAATTTGAATCCACCAATCTTTTTGTGTGTCTTCGTTTGATCTCCAAGTTAATGCTAATTTTCAGACCTTCAAGCCATTACATATGTTTGATTGGATTCATTCGTTAATCTAAAAGAAAACTATGGTGCATACGTGCTACACCGGCCCAACATATTTCCATTAGGAGAAACGCGCTGCCGTTTCCAAAACGATGGCAAACGAAGAAGCTTCTTCGCCAACTTCACGAAATGCTCGTCTAAAAGTGCTGCATAATTCAAACGCTGCAAGAAGCTCAAAACCCAACGGAAGCCACAGGACACGAACAAATGATTCACACTTGTTGACGTTTAGGCATTATACAGTTGGCCAGAGTTTGGTATTTACATCTTCGTGCTGTTGGTGAAGATGTTCCTTCATCTGCATGTGTTTCGGCACATTTAGTTTTTGTATTTGCATAGTTTCTGAAGCCGTAGAGTGTTTCTCCTCATGGAAATGTTTGGGCTATTGCTGCCATGTGCACCTGTCGGACACAATATCCCTTTCTACTCACAAGGAACAACATTGAAACGATAACAACCCTGTTTATAAATTCCTCTGCCATGATTAACTCTTTGATTGACAGGTTGTCCTCCCACTCGTCAAAGCAAACAAAAGCACGTACTCTGACTGTGTAATTATTTCTCTTTTTCCCAAAGACCGCCTATACGATGTGTTTGCTTGTATGTTGGGATCGGAACATACTGTAACTCCTCATTGTGTGCTGGTGATTCAAATCATCCATCATTTATGGGCACCCAGATTTACTGCAGGGTGACTCAGACATAAGTCTTCTTCCCAGAGAAAGACTCAACCCACTAAGCATGAATAATCACAGTTCATTGAAGTCAATCTGTTTTGAATATGACACACAGATTAAATAATTCAAATGATGCTGTGACATGGTAAAATGAGGGCGATGATGTAATTCACTGGTGTTTAATTAGGCATTTGCCATTATGTTAAAAGTGGAATCAGTTTTCTCTCATTAGCCGCGAGTCAGTTGTGGCATTGTGTTTTAACTTTGTTACACGCATGTACTTCCCTGAATCAAACTTGGATGGGTTCATCTGACGTCTTCTGATTAGTGCTGATTAAAGAAAATTGGAAACTGCAGACTGAACTACTTTAGTTTCCAAGCGGGAAGAAGCTGTAGTCTTGGCGTAATCTCGTATGCAATCAAACGTGGAAGATGTCCAGTTCCATTTAAACAACAGAAACTACTCGATTCTGCTGCTACTCGATCAGAAAGGACCAATTCCAAACCGACCCCAACACACTCCCACTAAGCGACTGAGTGAACTCTTTCTGTAGTCACACTCACAGCTGAATCAGTGGAGGGTGTAAATCCAGCGGAAAGCTTTGGGACAAACTCCACTCTCTCAAGCAGGAACTGTTGTAACTTTTTGTTTCGTGGTAGTTGAGACGGAAAGGTTGTCAGGATCAGTTTGGAATTGGGCCAGAGTGTCCTCCAGAGTTCAAATCTCAAGCTTTCTTTGCCGTGCTGTGACTGCGTGCATGTGGTCTGACCTGCATTTGGTTTTGCTTACATGTATGTTTGCATGCCGGCCTTTAATCCTGCTTTATTTACACAATTCATCCTCATGCTTAGCGACGGTGGTGAAGCTTTAAACTTCCTGTGGACTACAATTGGTGAAACTCATGTTGACTCATCTGAAACATTATTTAAAAATAAGTGTTAATGTAAATAACAATGGATGAGATACTACATTTCAATCAAGGCAGATTAAGTATTGTATGTATTCGTCAAGCTTTAAAATGCCTTGAAGTTACATGTATTGTTTAATTTAGTATTATTTGGGAAATACTTATGTTATCATCCTCTCCTTTTAATGGATATTGAAAGCATCCTACAGTAATGAATGTAAGTGGATGACACCTGAAGTCTCCTCTTTGTTAGAGATGTACCACATAGTCTTTGATTAAAACTATAACTGTAATACACAAAGGCACTATAGCTGAACCAGGTCATTCCCTTAAAGGTATTTAAGGATGATTATTAATTGGGAATGAGTCAACAATAAGAGTCTCACCTATATTGGTCTCTTCATTCACTGCCTCCTATTTGTGTTGCTTTTTAACTTTTGTTTTCTCCCTGTTCTCTCAGAAATCAAAAGTATGACATGACATTTGTGTGTACTTGGATTTTGAGATTATTCCTTCTCTCTTCCTTCTTTGTAAATGTGGTATATTTAGGGGTTGAGTCATGATTTGGAGCTTTAAATTAAAACTCTGAAAATCCTCTGAGGCCAATAGGTCAAGTTTTCCAAATGCCTCCTCTGTAGTTTGAGTCAAGTTAAAAGTAAAATCAATGCTTTATTCCATGTGTTCATGTAATGGGTTGCAGCGATGGTGATGCAAGGCCCTGACACAGTTATCCTGCGTATTACAAGGCTACCTTGTAAAGAAATCCACAATTGGAAATACAATTTTGATCAAAAACGCATTAACTTTTACCTAGAGTCTTTACCTAAACTACCTCCATTGCAAAAGTCTAATAAATAGCAGATGTAACTGACCTGGATTATAATTGAGTTTTCAACAAAGCTGTGCATCAAGGATGGTTGGAAGGGGTTACTTTTAAAAAAATGAGTCCAGTTACAATTACTAGTAACTAGGGTTGCAAAATTCCGGGAATTTTCAAAGATGGAAACTTTCCATGGGAATAAATTGGGAATTTTCAAAATTGAAGGTTGGCTCTTCATAGGGAATTTAAATGTAGTTGGGGAAAGTACATTTTAGCATAATCTTGACTAAAACAAACAGATGCCATTCAAGTACACTTGAATATCCATGCCATTCCTCAATCACATGCACATAGCACACTCCTTACTGCATGGCAATTGAGACCACACCCCCTACAGCAGGGATGGGCAACTTGGATGGTGGTGGGGGCCACATCATTTATGTACTGGCCACCAGGGGGCCGCAGATTCACTTGGAACACACACACACACACACACACACACACACACCCACCCACCCCTGTGGCAGG